TTTTTGGAAAATTTTGTCCATCACTAGTGCAAAATATAAACAATTCTAAAGCAGTTTAAAAATATGCAGTTGATTTTTTTTTTCAAACAGGTGACTGAGTTATCAAAACCAGACAATTTCCTCAGATCAAAGACTGATCTGAAATAAAGGATATAAGACTCAACTTGTTGCTTCCTGTACAATCCTGCTCCTTTTCACCCCTCAATTATCAGGCTCCACTTTCGTATTGAAGTCACAGACAGCACTGCTGATTTGTCCAAATAAAACAGCCAACAAATAAAAGTGGTGAACGAATTGGTGGCATGAAGGCAAGTGATGAAGTCACTCATTTCTCATGCTGAGTTCAATGGAATCACAAATTAAGAAGACCACAGTCCTTCTTTGCAGAAATGAAGACACAATTTCAAAAGGTTCCCAGATTTTGGTCATTGTGCTACTACTAACAGAAGCATACAAATACAGAAGCATTTGGGGATAATTTTAATCAGCATCAAGTCTAAAATGAAATTCCTAAACAAAAGACAATTTTGGATCTGCAATTTATAGCACAGATCAAACTTCAATCCAAATAAATTATCACTAATCTGTGAAGCATGACTATTCCTTCTCCTACATTTTCAGGTTATCATGTGGGAGATTTATCTCTCCAATCAAATAGAGACTGTTGAAATGAAAGCCACACATAATATTTACTCCCAGATATGTGCGATTAAACCTTCTGCATAATATGCAAAAATAATGGGCACAATTGAGAGAAAAGCATTTTATTCTGGAAACTTATCTCTGCCCATTCCTGTGTTACCTTGCAGATATCTTCATTTCAGATATTTACCTTTATGTTATCTAGATATTGTTAGAGGAGGAAGGTGAAGCCCCAAAGCCTGATCCCCCAGTTCAATGGCTCCTATTCAGAGCCAGTTTCTCCTAAAATGTCTCATATGACTTCTCATTTTTATAGATCTTTACTCCCTCTTGAAAAATCTGTTTCAATTTCTAATAAAGATTGAAATGCTTCTGGAAGAAATATTCACTAAAACAAAAAAAACAAAAAAACACAGCTGTAAATGACTGACATCAGCATGAAGAAAAAAAAAAAATACCATGTCAATGTTTCAACACATTACTTGCTGAACAGCTTCTCCTACTCAGTCCTTCTGCGTTAAATGGGTGTGCCCAAAATTGGACATGCCAGCAGATGGTTATAAGCACTGTTTGGCATGCATCTTGGTGCATTCTACGCTGCTGACAGATGAAATACAATTCCCCTGGAGGGATGCTGTGGTTTCTAAAGCAGTACTTACATAACAAAAAACAAAAACCTACAGAATCTTCCCACTGGGGCCCTAGATCTATAAGCTCCAAAGTTGTGTTGTCTTGCTTGTTTAGTAGATTTGAACAACAATCATCTCTTCTCAGAGATTAGTGCTTCTTAACCGGAGATGTGTGTCATCAGTATTCAGGATATTTCTCCTAAGATATGCATGTCCAGACCCCACCTGAGTCCCCACACTTAATCAGACATGCTGGTGTGGAGCCCGGGCATGTGTACCTATTTTGGAAAGCTTACCAGGTGATTATGAAGCGCATCCCTGGTTAAGGTGACTTTCCCAGATTATTTTTTAAAGTGGTGAGTAAATAACTGTGCCATACATGTGTGCATGCACAGAACAATATAATTCTGTTTTATTTTCCGTGGTGCTATCTAAATGTACTTCTTTGCTATCCCATTCTTTCCCACTGGTTTCTGCTTTTGAGATTGGCTTGTAGCATTCTGTAGTTCAGTAATAATCCCCAGATAAATTTTAGGTAAAGTCCAAGTATATTAGGCACTCTTCATTGGGGGTACGGGCAATATGCCAATTTAGATCAGCAAATTCTTCCAAAACAATGTCATCGGAACATAGAGTCATTCAACAAGTATTGATTCAGCAGCGTCTACATGTTGTGGTAAAGGCAGAGAAGAATGTAAGAAAAACAAGATGTGGTTCTTGTGCCCTCAAGGAGCACATATGATATAATTAGGGTGAGACTATCTAGACAAGCTATGAAAAGATAAATAACCACATAAGTAAACATGAGACTAGGTATTAAGTGACTAGTTCTTCCCATAAGGACTAAGAATTCAGAAGAAGGAGCACTCCCTCCAGACCCAACAGTCACAACACATTTCTGAGAGGGCCTGGGCTTTGAAGAATGGGTATGGGGTAAATGAGTGAGGCAGAGGAAGGTAGAGGTTCCCAGTCAGGAGCATGGAGCAAACCAAGACAGGAATGAACAAAATATGGACAATAGAGACATAGTCCTCTGAAAGAAAGGAGTCATCTGGGTAACTAAAATCAAACAGATGAAGGCCAGATTATATCAGGCTCAGGAGCCTAATATTGATCCTATAGTTGTAGAAAAATCATTAAAGTTTTAAAGCAGCAGGCCATGGAGATAAATAGTATTTTAGGAAAATGCAACAAAAAAAAAATTGCAACAAACAAGCGTATCAGATAAATAATGGGATTTATGAGACCCATCAGGTCTGCAGCCATTGCAGTGGCTTTACAAAGAACTAATGGATTTCTAGGGCTGGTTAGTTTGTTTCTAGACTATAATAGAATAGAAGCATATAAGAACAGGAGAAAAAGAGAAGTCAGGAGTAGAAGCAAATCAGAGTTGCCGGATGACGGTGGCTCAGAAGAAACATTTGCACTGGACACATGACTTTGGAAGAAGTTGTGAGAGAAAAGAACTCCTTTTACACAAAGGATGGAAGGTAGAAAAAGGGAAATCAGAGATTGAAGACTGAATCTGAAGAAGTGGCTCATTAAAGACCATAAGGAAAATAAGAGAATAAATGATGCAAACCAAAGTCCTCAGAAAGGCAAGAGTATCTATTGTCAACCTAGAGGGCAAGGGAGAAGAGTTTCAAAACAAAGTTCATCAACAGTCTTCTGCAACAGGGTCAAAGGCCACTGGTAATGACTCAGTTCTAGTCCCAGCAACCCTTGTGTGTGCTCTAACCCACAATTGATCTTTATCTTTTAATCTTTAGTTACTGACTGTGCATACAATCGTTTAGCACATGTATCTGTGTGTGTTTATTTTTTTAATAGCTGTCTTGACTCTCACAGATTGAAAAGTTACATTTTACATGACACTATTATAAATAAGCTACCCAAGGGAAAAGATCCAATTTGATACCTTTATGCACTCCAACCCCCACATTGTGCCTTAACATTGCCATGCCTCTAGCAGTCATTTAGAATTTTTTTTTAAATTCCAGAACATTTTTTAAAATATTTTTATTGATTTTAAAGAGAGAGGGAGAGATAGAAACATTGTTGAGAGACAAACATCCATTGGCTGCCTCCTCCACGCCCTGCATTAGGGATTGAGCCTGCAACTCCAGGCATGTGCTCTGACGGGGAATTGAACCAAGGACCTCTATGTTCATAGGTCAATTCCCAACCACTGAGCCACACCAGCTGGGCTAATTCCAGAACATTTTTATCACCCCAAAAAGAAACCCTGTACTTGTCAGCTGTCACTTTCCAACCCTCCATCCTTGCCACTGGCAACCACTGATCTGATTTCTGTCTTACTGATTTGCTGGTTCTAGACATTTTTTTAAATGGAATTATACAATATGTGGCCTTCTGTGACTAGTTCCTTTCCTTTAGCATAATGTTTTCTTTTTCCTTTTTTAATTTAAAACAGATACATTAAGTTTTTTTGGTTTTTTTAGAATATACAAAATAAATCTATTACTAGATTGTAGATACAAAATAATTAGCCATTTACATGCAATAAGCATTAATATTTCAAGAAAAACAATTTAAATATAATAATATTTTTAACTAATTGAAATATTTTTAACTAATTGTAACAGTAATCATCCTGGGGATTGTGGTATGCAGGTAAGAACCAGTTGAATTCAGGGAGAAGACATAGACATTGGTATAACCTTGAGCTTTGCTTGTCAAAGTGATCCATGGACCAGCATCATGGCCTGGGAATTTGCTAACAGTGCACTCTCAGCTGCCATCCCAGATGACTGAGTCAGAATCTGCACTTTAACGGGATCCAGATGACTGCTTCCTACACACACTGATATAGACATAGCAAAATGTAGAGAGGGTTCGCACGGAGTTACCAAGTAAGTTAGTGGGCGCTGGAACAGATGGCACCTGTGCTTCAGTGTGTGGGCATGGGCTGAGACCCCACTTCGCCCCTACTCAGACCTTCAGTTCTAGGATGCAGCTCTTTGGGTACTGGCAGGACCAGGCTAGGAAGCAATCCCAGCTTCTGAGCAAGAGCCCAGATGCATAAATCCTTCTTCCTCCATAATCTGCCACTAACTTCAATTACAGGAAGGGCTTTTCAGATTGTATCTACGAGGCTGTTTTTCCATGTTTTATAAATATTCTGACCTCCTGAAGACCCTGTTAATGCACCCCATATTTATCCAGTCTTAGGATTTACAACATTATTCTGCCTCTCACTTGTTCTCCTAGAAGATTAGGTTTCCCTTTAAGCTTTAGGTTACACTTGCTAAAACACTTTTTGGGCATAATTGAAAGCCAGACCTGAAAATATAACTTTAACCTCAAATAGAAAGATCCTGCAATGGAGGGAGCCACACTGCCAGCACTTCTGCTAAATGACAGGCGTCAGGAAAAAGCTCCCCAAGAAAGGAAAGAATGGTGAGACACAGGTCCCATGCCTCCCAGAGGAGAAAACCAACTAGAACAATGAGGCAGAATTCTCCTTTGTGGGGGATGTGCTCAAGGCTTCAAAATTCCTTTCTCTGACTTTCCTGCAGATACATGTATTGAGTGTCACTACTTCAAAATATCCCTATGCTAGAAGAGTTCTCGCTGGCTCTTCTATCATTTTTAACAGCTTCCTTGAGATACAATTTACACACCATAAATTTTCCATTTCTGAAACAGAAGAGACTTCTATGGGTTACTATGCAGATTGTTCTTTCAAAAAGAAAAACAGCAACTTACATGCTCTCACAGAACCTCGTCAGTGTGCTTGGCTTCTCCTGGTTGCGTCTTTGTCTAAACCAGCGCTGGATGCTGCGGACATCCCAGTCCAGCTGCTTGGAGAGGCCTTCCAATCTCTTCTCATCAGGATGCTGCAAAACAAGGTGCCAGGAAAATCATTTCTATCGTCACCAAAAAGAGACATGCCCTTGTCTACAATTGAGGGTTTAAAAAAAAAAAAAAAATATATATATATATATATACACACACACACACTATCTGCTACTGAGATTTCCGTATTTACCACTGAGGATGTAGGCCTTCCGTTAGCAGTGTGAACATAAAAAAAAAAAAACCACCACTTAGGACAAGCTAAGTTATTCACTGTGAAACAGCATTGGAAAATACTGCACTTCTTAGCAGCAATGAAGATGCAATGGGACAGCCACCTGGCTGCGCCAGCTCCATTAGCCTTCAAGGAAAGGAGTTTCCAAACTGAGTTCACCAACAAAGTCTTCTGCAGCAGAGAGGGAAAGGAGACCTTAGGGGAATGTGCAAAGAGGCATCGTTTCAGTATTTCCCTTTCTCAGGAGGAGGGGGTGGGGGGAAGCTAGACCCAATTTTCATATATCAGGATAACAAAAAGCTTGGAAGAATCCCCAAATAGCTGGCTTTAGCCTAAGGGACCAATTCTACTACAAAATATGTGTTTTTTTTTTTCTTTCTTCTCTCTCCCCTCTCCTCTGTTCTTCACACATTCCTCTTCTATTAATTTTCCTGGCCATTCCTGTTTATCCGTCCCCATCAAAACCTTTACAAAGACTATGTACAACTTGAAGACACAAATGTGATGAGGAGAAAAGCTACGTATGCTTGCCACAGGATGATAATTGTCTCACACATTTCTGGAACATTAGGAGATGACAGAAAGAGGTTCAATTACTCGCTTCAAGGATCTACCCCTCTGAGCCTCAGTTTCCTCACCCGTTTAATAAAAGGGCTATTTATCCACCTAAACGGGATGGCAGGGTGACCAGCTTTCTGCTCTCTAGTTCTGAGGGTTGAATTTTCACATAGCACCCTTTAAAGCATCTCAATCAATTCTAGGTGTCAGAGACACAGGAAACACAGCCAGTGGCCTCAGTGTTATGACTGAAGTTATAAAATGTGCTGGGCTTACGTCTGTAAAAGTTATTCGCCAACTTTCAGAAAGGCATGTACGTTGAGCTGTTCTTTATTAGTAGTCCTGACACCATCTCCACTCTCCCTTTATATCTTACTTAATTTAAAAGTTTGGGAGAGAAAAATTTACAGCCTACCATATGTATTGGACCAACCATTTTCCTAAAGAATTCATTTTTCATTTCAATTTACATTCTAAGTTTATTGACTAGGTCAAACACTCATATGGTTCCCAAATTAAAAATTATTCAAAGTTTCACCTTCCTACTTTGTTCCTGCTCTCTCAGTTCCTCCTCTTCCCTTCTTATCAGGTGATCAGTCTTTAAATCTGGTTCTCTCCAGTGTTGTTTTATGCAAATATAAGCACATTTGAATATATATATATTCTTATACCTCTCCTCTCTGTACTGTACCCCTCCCCCACTCACCGCCAGTCATATAGATGGCTGCATACTACATACATCATTCTGGACTTTGGGTTTTTCACTTTACAATGTGTCTTGGAATATGTCCATTATCCTATAAAATAAAAGCCTTGGTGGCGTCATGCACTTGCGTGACATCGCCACAAGATGACCACGTACAGCAAAGGTGGGGCCTGCCGGCCACTCTGCACAATGAGGCCTGGGGGTTCTGGGGCTCTGCATGGCGTGGAGGAAGCCAGTTCTGGTGTCTCTGCAGCCTCATGGGGAAGAGGTGGGTCACAGCAGGGGAGGGCAGTTGTAGGAAATCAGGTTGGCAGGAGAGGGCAGTTGGGAGGGTGATCAGGCCAGCAGGGGAGCAGTTAGGAGTCAATCAGGCCAGCAGGAGAGCAGTTAGGGGGTGATCAGGCTGGCAGGCAGAAGTAATTAGGGGCAATCAGGCAAGCAGGCAGGCAAGCAAGCGAGTGGTTAGGAGCCAGTGGTCCTGAATTGTGAATGGGATCTCAGATAGGAAAGGGTGTAGTCCAGGTTGAGGGACACCTGCTCCCCACCCCCTCATGCACAAATTTCATGCACCAGGCCTCTAGTAAAAATATAAAGGACACCTTCTTTCCTTTGTAGAACTAAGAATATGCCATAATTTACTTATCCAGTCCCCTATGAATGGCCATTTAGTTAGCTTCCAAACTTCCACTACTATAAACAATGCTGCAATAAATAACCTTGTCCTGGGTCACTTTCTACAGGCCATTTCATATACGAGTATAAATTCCTGGAAGTGAATGTTGGAGATCAAAGGGTCTATGCATTTGCAATGTGTTTAGATATTGAAAAAAACCCTTCATTAATAATTTCACCAACTAATACTCATGCAAACAGGCATGCTCATTTCCCAAAGCCTCATCAATAGAGGATATTATCAGACTTAATTATTTTCCAGTCTGACGTATAAAAAGTAGCTATTTGGTATATTTTAAAATTTGATTTCCTCTTTTTCTGAGAGAAGCATCTTTTTATGTGTTTTAAAAGCCACCTGTATTTCATTTTTATGTACAGTCTTTTCATATTTATTGTCCATTTTTTCTTCATTTGTAGGTATTCTATTTATTGATCTGTAGAATTTCTTTAATTATTCTTTAATTTCTTCCATTAAACTTTGGTGTGCACCACTAGCTGCATACTTTGTTCCAATATGTCATCATAGTTAGTTTATGATGTAGTTTTTGCTCGTATTTTTTACTTGCAGAAGTTTGGTGTGTGTGTTTTGTTTTTTTTAATGTATTTGAATTTTCCAATCATTTCTGTTATAATCTCTGAATCTGGGTCATAATTAGAAAAGACTTTCCTATTCAAAATATCCAAGAAATTCTCCCACATTGTTTTGATTGTAATACATCTATAGTTTTTATTTTTACATTCCGTCGTTAGTGTATTTGGAATATGTATATCCTGGTACACAGTGGGAGGTGTGAATCTACCTTTCTTTCCAAATGGCCACCCAGATAGGCCAATTCCATTGTTCACATTCTTCCCAGGAGAAATCGAATCTATTCTTCCATTTTTCTGTTATGTTTGTGCAAGGATATGAAGTTAAGTTACTCAGAAATCTTTTTTTATTTTTCTATATGAACTTTAGAATTGGCTTGTTCAGTTTCAAAATATAAACAAATGGTCAAACAAGAAAATCGGTTGGTATTTTTAATGAGATTATACCAAGTTCTTAAATTAACATAGAGTGAATTGACATCTTTACTCAATTTGTCTTTTGTGTCCTTCAACAGTGTTTGAAATTTCCTCACGTACCTTGCACATCCTTGTTACATTTATTCCTAGGGATGTTATCTTTTGGGGTTTCTATTATAAATAAGGAATTTTCTCAGATCTTCTGACTGCTTAATGTCTGCATGTATATATGATTAATTTTTGTGCCAACATTTCAAATTTGTTTGTGGCTAATTTTTCTGGTATATGGTCATATAATAGCATATCACTAGAATGATTCCTCTATAAACAAAGGACATTTTTAGTTTCGTTTTTTCACTAATACCTAGACTATAGTAGGGCCTCAATACTTCTTGAATGAATGAATGAATCTTTTCATTGCCATAGCTTTATTGGCTCCTTTCTAATTTTTATGCCTTCATGTTCTTTCTTATCTATTTGCTAATTAAATGTAAAACTTAGCACAATGTAAAACAGTGGTTATAAACACCCTTATCTGTTCCAGGTGGTGTTTAGTGGGAATACCCTTCTGTTTCTTATTAAGCAAGAGGCCAGACCTGGGCCTGTGGGCCTGCTATACAGGGGTATTAAAGGAAAACTCCTCAGCCTAGTTAGATAATTTTATTTTAATCAAAATTATGTTAGGTTTCAGGAGCCACAGAGATGAGCATGCATTTTTTTTTCTCCTTAGATCAATTCATATGATATATTATTTAAATAGATTTTTAATACTGAATTCAGGGAAGGAAGGCCTTGCATTCTCTAAAATAAACCCTCTGGACAATGATGAGTAATTTTTTTAATGTGCAGTTAAATTTATCTGCTAATTTTCAATTTGGATTTTTCACCAATATTAATAAGTACAATGGCCTCTAATCTTATTTTTTCATAAAATCTTTGTGAAACTTTGATATTAATGTTTCATTGCCACATAAAAAGAATTTGGATAATTTTCTTAATTTTCTATGCTTTAGGATAATTTAAAATAGCATTAGAATTTTCTGCTCTTTGAGAGAGTGTTATTTTCTGAGAGCATCTGAGGCTGGAACTTCTTTTGCAGTTTAGTTCTTTGATTTACATACATACACACTCACATATCATATAAATTATAGTTGGTAAATTTTATTTTCCCAGAATAACTTCCATTTTATCCAAGTTTTCACATTTTATTTGCCACATTAATAGAAATGTAAATTTTTTAAAATTTTCCTCCATGTCTATAATCACTGATTATTATGTTGTAAATTTATTGTTGTTGTTTTTTTTTTTTTCCTTAACTGGGTTCTCTGACTTTCTAAAAAAAATTAGACAAAGTACTTTCAGATTAATTTTCTTATCTATAGTTTTGCTAATGCCATTTCTGCATTTATCTTTATTAATTTCTTCCTTTTGCTTACCGTCATTTATTTTGTTGTTCTTTTCCTAATGTCTAAGTAAGTGTTTAACTATATATACATGAGGTTTTATCTAAGCACTGCTTTGGCATAGTATATACAGGGTGTCCTCAAAAAATGTACATACATTTTAACAGCTGATAGCTCAATTTTGAAAATGAAATGAATTTTAATAAACACTGCCTTTATAACTAGTCAAAGTTTGTGTATATATATTTTTTGGGACACCCTATATATGTGAGTAATGCTTTCATAATCACTGTTTTCTAAATATTCAGGGGTCAATGGAGGAAAAAAAAGGGACATATGTAATACTTTCAGCAATAAAGATAAAAATAAAAAGTATAAAAAAAGAGTTGATTGAGAAAGCAAGAAGATTTCAGCTTTCTGGTGTCTACTATTATTAAATTGTACCTAATTTTAAAATTTATT